CCATACAAATGTTTCTTTAACGGCCCCTTTTCCATGTATTCATAAACTAGTATCATTTCAGATTGTTCTTCACAATACCCAACAAGTGATACAAGATGGTGGTGGCGAATTTGGGACAAAACCGTTATTTCAGTCTGGAATTCTGGAAGGCCCTGCCTAGATCCAGGCACCTCTCTTCACAGCAACCTTTGTGTTGTCCTTCAGGAACCCTTTATAAACCATGCCAAAACCACCAGAGCCTACAATTAGACTTTTATCGAAATTGTTTGTCGCCAATTGTAATTCAGCAAAAGGGATCTTCAAGCAATGATATCCATTTGCGCCTGGAGACGCAAGTGCAGTCCTTTCAGACATTCTACTGTGTGAACTACCTCCATATACGCGTAAAGGTGTCCAAACCGCACTTTCTGCAGGGCCGGGTTTCAGTTTCCTCTTTCTGCGTTTCAAAGCAAGCAGAAATGCACCAATTGCAAAACACAGAATAACAAAGCCTCCAACAACTGTGCCCACCAAAATCCATATACTCCTCTTCTTACGCCCAGTTCCAGCCCATAAATTGGAAACATTCACCATTCTCATGATCTCTGCCCCATTCAATATAGCATTAATCCTAACGGAACTACTCAGATCAGAAGGACCAACGCTAATTTCTATAATCCCCGAACCATCCGAATCCACAACAAAATCAATATAGACAGGAGATGCAAGCACATTGGCTGCCATCACTGACAGATCAACATCTCTGTACGCAGCATACCCATTGATATACACATTAAAGTACAACAAATTAAGTGCAGAACTAACAATGTCACAGAAGTGCAACCTAACCAAATGCCCGGAATTCGTATCCACTGGAAATTTCCATGTAAGATTAAACCTTGCACCTGTAATTGCCTTATCCGTATTCATCTCCTGGGCAGTCATATATACATTATCCGGCGCAATCTCTCGAGTTGCACCGCCCCTCTGATAATTGGGAGTATCCGTGGTGGAAGCGCACTTCGCAGCGGATTCCAGAACAAGATAATCGACATCAGGGACCCAATCCCTCCACAAAGTATCATTAAAAGGTGTCAATTTCGAACCTCCAACATTAATCCTATAAAGGGTCTCTAAAACTTGTGAAGACAGATTCTTGTATTCGACAACATTCGCACCAACGAATTTAGCACCGTAATCAACAACAAGATCCTCAGGAGCTGTAAAAACTTCAATGGCATTTACATAGCAAAACCCAGAATTACCCACAGGCGCAAACAAAATTTCAACCACATGTGCATCAAATTTTATAACAAATTCTCTAATGACAGATTCCCTAACATGTAATTCTCTTAACAGAGCAAACCCATTAACGGAAACGCTAAAGTTTGCAGCTTTCAAATCAAAACCCTGAGCTACAAACGGCGAGAAGTGAAAACGTACCAAGTGGATCCCTGATTTCTTGATGCTGAAGGTGTAGCTCGAAGCTCTGGTGAAAACTCTGGCTGTGCGGTAGAGAACAGGTGAATTGGGAGGTGGGTTTTGGTCGGCGAGGGAAATGGAGCCCCGCCCGGACTTGTACGGGTCCGCCGAGAAGACCCGGTTGAAGACGGAGGCGTTGGTGGAGGAGCCACAGTTGAAAAGGTAGTTGTCTAAGGGAGTGAAGGAGGCTGAGAAGTGGAGGAGAGAGAGAATGGTTAGAGAGAGAAAATGGAAGTTCATGGTGCCCATGGAAGGAGGTTGGAGCTCATGAGAGAGTGACGAGGAGTTGGAGGAACAGAGGCACAGTGGATTCTGACTAAAGTGGAAGTGTGAAATTAATTGGGACAAGGATTGTCTGCCCTCCTAGTTGTGGTACCCTTCCATGCTCTCTTATTTTGTGTGGTCACGGTTAAACCACGTCAATATTTTATATTTTAATTATTTTTTATCTTATTATCTCATTAAAAAATTAATATAAAATATTAACGTGGCTTAACCGTGACCGCACAAAATAGGAGGGCATGGAAGGGCACCACAACTAGGAGGGCAGACAATCCAAGTCCAATTAATTGAGGGTGTTCTGTTTGAATTTTTTTTATATTATTCAAGATTTTATTGGACCCTCTTTATGAGTGAGGATTCTCGTTGGATCTTCTTTGTGAGGATCCCGAAAATCTTCAAAAATACATATGTTTATTGTATATTGTCTCGTCAGAAATTAGCGTAATTTTTTTATTTAAAACTTAAAATAAAAAATACCTGACGAAAACTGACCACACAATATATGATGAACATATGTGATCGAAAGATTCCCGAAATTCTCACAAAGAGGATTCGGCGAGGATCATCTCTCCCTTTTTATCTGGTGGACACAAAGGGAAAGAGATCATCTCCGGATCTTTCCCTCCAAAGCTCAGGGATCAAGTGATCTGGACCTTTAAAATTTGATCCAACGGCTAAAAACAGAGAAGTTAGTAAAAACTTTTAAAAGCTATAATATTTTTTAGCCGTTTGATCAAAATTTAAAGGTCCGGATCACTTGATCCCTAGGATTTGAAAGGAAAGATCCGAAGAGGATCTCTTTCTGACACAGAGATATGTTCTTTTCTTTTGAGTGGCCAAAGTGGGTACATGATTGGGATTTGGATCCTCTTCTGAGCCCAAGGAGAGGATCCTCCTGAACAAGCAGTGTGGATCGTTGAATTTTTATTCAACGGCTACAAATAAGGGATCCCTTTAAAATTATATTAATTATAGTCATTGAATGAAAATCCAACGGTCCAAATTACTTGGTCAGAGGATCCTCTCCTTTTACTCAAGAGAGGATCCAACTCCCATGAATTGTATAGAATTCCAGCATCCAGAGGGAATGCTGATGAGCTGCATTTCACAATGCAATGCTGCAATTCCCACAACGAATTCTCATATTATGCTTGAATTTTCAGTTTTGAATCTTGATGCAAACTTATGATTCCGAGATTCCGTCATTTAATCGGGAGTATACCTCTTTCTCTCCCTGTTATCGTGTGATATGCATAAATTTGTATGTTACCGATAAATAATTCGATGTGTTATACTCACGCTTAAGATTTTGCACAGTCCAAGAATTCCTTCTAGTAACGTGATGTTAAACATAAAAAACAGCATGGCCCTCACATTTATCTTATTTATTCAATTATCCAACTTCCCTAAAAACAAAAAAATGTATCCAACCTCCAAGCCCCAATTCACATTACAGTACCAAGTACCTGTTAACTGTTTGGCATCCAAGGGCATTCAATGAATCTTTACCTTCTTCAAATATACGTTTAAAAAAAAAAAAACCAATGAAAATAACTTGAAAATTTTGAGTTTTAATGATAATGACAAAATAAAGGGTAAAATGAATAGTACCTTGATTGACTTTTTAGTGTAAAAATGTGGTTTTTCATTAAAGTAAACAGTACTATGAGCTTTTCGTTAAAGTTCAAAAAAAAAAATGACATTAGCTGATTGTTTCGGAGGTTGGGAAGACTCATTAAGGCATTTCAGCATCATCTGACCATTATCGTGTGATTCACCAGCACCAGGAATCGAACTACAATGTGAAATACGATAATGGAATTTGTCTTAACCACCAGGGTGCCCCGTGGTTGTTTTAAAATTCTTTTCACTGTATAAGCTATTTTTAAAGGTAAAATTGGCTTGTAACGCAATTTACAATGTTTCCAAATGTATACACTCATCTGCCTGTCTCCTTCATCACGTGAATCATAAAGACAACAAATATGCATTATAAGAAGAAATGTGTATACACTCAGCCACATCGTAGATTTTGTAGCTTTTTTTTTTTTGGGTAAATTGAGAATGATATTCCAGGGCAAAGATGTCAGAACGTACAGGGAAAGCCTACAACGAGGCAAGCTAAAGCTAACAAAGCATTAATAAACAGTGCAAAGTGGTACATGAAGAAGGATGCTGCAACCATGCAAAAACGTCACCCCCTACATTGTCAAAACAAAATTAATAAGAACAAGATAAGCCGTCATTGTTCAGCACATGCACCAACAAATATTAGGGGTCTATCGACCGTATATTTTGTCGCTTTTCAGTGTTAATAAGAACGCTCTATTTAAGCGGTAAGCACCGAAAAGCATTGATGCATGCCAGCTAAATGGAGGTGAATGGAGGTGGGATGTTAGTGGGTGGATGTCGTTTTCTTAAGGACATTGCAATTCATAAATTGACACTTATCACAAATATAACATCAAAATTTAGCCTTGCCTTACAAACTATCACTAATATATAAAGAAAGAAACTTGCTTAATATTGTTAATTATTATATATCATCACAACAATACAATTATTGCTCCTTAGATGATGTCAGTCATCAGTAGAGATTGGTTTAATAGAGTTTCACATCATCTAACTCGTTTTTCTTGTTACATTAGAAATATACTCGTTAACTTTGACTTCTGTTATTTTGATATTATATCTAGTATTTAAAGTTTGCTTTAATTTGGTACCGCTCTCGTAGTTCGCACCGAAACAGTGCTTTACCTCTAAAGGTCCAGTCAACTGTTGCGCCTCAATGCATTTCAGGGATAACTGACTAGCTTTGGGTTTGAGCAGCATTTCACCCCTAACCACAACTCATCCACTGATTACTCAAGATTAGTCGATTTGGACATTCACTTAGTTTCACTTAAGCTTCATCTTGATCATGGATAAATCACCCAAATTTGGATCCATAAGCAGTAACAATTGCCCTATAAAGACTCGCTTTTGCTACAGCCCTAGTGAGTTCCCTTAACCAAGCCACTGCCAATTGTTAGTCTCTTCTAATAAAGGGGTGTGCTATTCACACACTCTCTTTTATTTCTCACACACCCCTTGTTAATTTATGTCCGTTGATCTTCTTTAATTCATCCGATTCGACAGCCGAAAACTAAAAAAATGTGGAAGAAGTAAAAAGGGGTGTGTGGATATCATAACCCCTAATAAAAAATGTATTAAAGAACTTGCAAAAAGGAAGAAAACGAAAGGGAGCAAAAAGAAAAACAACGATAAACGATGTCGTTTAATATATTTTGCCTTTGCTATGTTCCTTTCGTAGACGGAGCATCAAAGCTTCCCTGCTGGCTGCTGCGCATCCTACCTCGCTAACCTTCGACTCTCTCTGTGACGGGCGGCTTGATTTGCTTTGGATAATTCACGCAGGTACAAATTTCTCTCAAAAAGTTTCAATCTTTTCAATTTTCAGATGCTGTAATTAGGGTTTCGTCCCAGATCAATGCATAATTTAGCTTCCCTTATTTAGGGTATGGCCTCAGGTCAGTGCATCTGACTAAAGGGGGCTCTTACTGTTATTGAAATTTATTTACTTGCAGCCTTGCAGGTGAACAAAGAGTTGCTCTTGTTAATTTCGGAAGGTTCTTATATGCTTGTTGTGTGCTGGAAGCCCGGAATTTGAAGTTGGATTTTCATCGTATTCCCCTTTCACTGTAATGGTAAATTTTTCCAAGCTTTTTATGTTAAGACATGCACCATATGATTGCGTTTCTACCGTTCGGTTATTGCATTGCCGGGTTCTTTAGTATAGGTAGGTGTTAGAGTTGGAAATCGAACGTTGAGAGGGATGGAGGGATGGAGGGAGGGAAAGAGAAGGGGGTAATTTGATGAATTGAAAAAGACTGTTTCTTTAAACTCTTGCTAGCATGATCAAATGCAATCCAACGCTTTTATTTCCCGCGGTACCTGCTATTTGATGAGTCTTGCTGATTGTGTATGTTTCTGTGGGTTGGTGGGGGAGACATGTTTCTGTGTGGTCCTTGTTTGGGGCTGCTTATGGTGATTGGTAACTTCGAAAATGCCCCTTTATTTGGTTGTCTTCTGTATGAACATTGGACCTGAATTAGAGGCCATTAGACCTTATAGTCGCATCTGCATCCAAGGTGATAGGATTTCTATATCTTCGTAACGAAGGTTCTCGCTTTGGCACTTTTGTATGGCCCCAACAAAGCTTTTGCACTGGAGTCTCCTTGAACATGATTCCTTTCCAAAGTAAAAAGAGAAAAAAGTGATTACTTATTGTTCCACTATTAAAAACCGTTAGTATAAAGATGCTATACAATCTGATCAACCCGCTGGATTAAATTTGTGACCTGTTTCATATTTGATGTTAGACAGCGTTTTGGAATACTGAATTGGGTGGTGATAACTAATGCAGGATCCTAATGGTTCTTCCGATGAAAAGAGTGAAAGTAGAATCTACATTGGTAACCTTGATCTGAGAATAACGGAGTAAGTAAACCTTCGGAGTTGAATCTTTGTTGCTCTAGTCTAGTACCAGTGAGGCTGTGAGACTTACTATTGATCCCACTCTTGCATTTTCCAGGGCTGCTCTAATTAAGATGTTTTCTCCGTTTGGGAAGATTATAACTGAGGACTTTCTGTGGCACACTCGTGGCCGAAAGCGCGGAGAGCCACGGGGTTTTGCTTTCATCCAGTATAGCAACAAAGAGGTAAGTCAGTCGCTTATTTTTCTATCAGTTATGTTTTCAAGCAATTCCTGATCTCCACCGTTAAAGTGAGCATGCAGGAAGCAAGATTGGCCAAGGAGAAGATGCATGGGAGACTAGCATGTGGACGTCCGTTGGTTGTCCGTGTTTCCAGTGACAAGTACTTGGTAGAACCAGCAGACAATTCTTCCAAAGGAGTGGGCGAGGCAACCAAAACAAGCGTTTCCGGCACTAGCTCAGGACAGACGAGCAGGAGCTCCAAAATAGCAGCAATCAAGAACAAATTGAAGGCTCTGGAGGAGGAGGGCTTCAGCGCCAAGAAGCAGAAGCAAGAAGCCGACACGTCCATCGACAGAAGGTAACAAACTAGGACGCTAAAATCTGCTCAATTTCAAGTTGTAATCTTCCTAAACTTGGTCCAGTTGAACACAATAGTGATAACACAGTTGATTCTGTTTCGGGTGAAACATGAGATGTAATAATACAATATGGCTAAATTAACAGGTACAAAACTATCCAGCTTCTGGAATTATTTTTGTTGATTCAGCAGGGCTTTTTGTTGAGGCTGTTTTATTAAGGCTATCGATCTGTGGTGTTTTTAGGGTACATACACGTAAATAAGTATGGACACCTATGAATCCCGCAATCGTGTCCGTTCATTGTACATCGTGCGGTCAGTTTTCATTAAATACTATTTTTATTTGAATTTTAAATTTTAAATTATTTTTTACCACACGATGTACGATAAATGGACATGATTGCGAGATCCCTAAGATCCCTAGGAAGGATCATTTTCCAATATATACTAGCAGAGAACACACACAACGTGTGAACAATTTCTCTTAATAAGTGTATATATATATTTTTTTTTAATTTATTTATTTATTTATTTATTTTATTTTTTATAGCCGACCCCACTTAGTGGGAAAAGGCTTTGTTGTTGTTGTTGTTGAAGTGTATATTTTTTTAATGGAAAAATTAGTATCTCATCCCTAGTTTTTATTGTTCATTGACTAAGACCTTATTAGTTCTCAAATTTTGATTCAAGTCCCTAGCATTAATGTGATAATGAATTTACATGTTTATTATATAATTTTTTAATATAAAAATTAGTAATTAATTTAGGGTTTAATACTCACACCTCTATTAAACTTCTAATTAATTTTCAATTCAAACATTTCCAAAATAATAAAAAATTAAATTAAATTAAGTTTGTACCTATTAGTTTTTTTTTTATATATAAAAAGATTCTCAATTTTTTTAATCTTAAATGTACCCATTCATATAATTTTTCAATTTTTTTAATCTTAAATGTACCAATTCTCAAATATATCAATTTGTTATATGTAAAATGTACCCTTTTTTTAATATAAAATCCATTCAAAATTTTTAATCCATGTTTAAACTTATATGGGTACATTCTTTTTCTTTGATTTGAGAATGTATCCATGTTTTGGTACAATAACTTTTTTTGTTAATTTTGGTTAATGTACTCATACATATATGTGTGTATATATACACACACACACAATATAATAGAGAGTATATTTTATATTTTATTATTTTTAATCCCATAAATTATGGGTTTTATTTAAAATCTCATTAATATAAACAATTACAAATTTTAATTTTTAATTTTTAATTAAAAAATATAGTAACTTACATTTATTACATTAATGTCAGGGACATCAATCAAAAACTAAAAACTAACAAGGTTTCAATCAAAGAATATTGATAGATAGAGACCGCATCCAAAGTGTCCCTTTTTTAATATTACATATTACTGTTTTGTCCTCTTTATGTAAATATTGTGTATCACAAGTGAGTAAAATTAGAAAATATGATTGTTATTATCTCAAAAAAAGAGGGTAAAATAAGAAAAGTAAGGATATGGTTGTCATTTTGTCAAAAGGTACAAAATTATTATTTTGCCCTCCTCATGTCAACATTGTGTATTCATAAGTGAGGGCAAAATTGGAAGAAAAAGGGGCAAAAATTTGACAAGCCCTATCCTCTTAATAGAATAGATACAGAGGTTATTAAGAGAAGAGATTTTCATTTTTTTTTATAAAAGTAGGGATTAGTTGTGGAGCACACATCACATCGAACTTTAACAATTCGAGCAGTTTATTTTTCAAGTTGCACATCTAAGATCGTCCTTGCAACATATTAGCGAAATAAGAAATATTTGAGACATTTAATTAAGTTCAAAGAAATTGACGAACAATTATTCTATAAGAATCAATGAATTTCATCATGATAATTAGACAAACAGATGATTTCAAATTAAATTGAATTTTTGTAAGAATAATTTATGAATTGAAACTTACAAAATAGACTGGTCGTAACTTTTGACGTAGAGTGGGTTCCACAATAAATTCTTATTTAAAAAAAAATAGAAATTCTTTCCTAAAGAGATTTTTTTTTCTTTTCCGAAAAAGGTAATAATTACTTAATATTATTAAATTTAGATGATTATACTAGTTAACTCAGTGACTCGCTCCCCCAGAGTCCACTACCTTGAATCTCAACCAGAAGAACGAATCTCTCTCAGCGCAGAGAGGGAGGGAGGGAGGGAGGGAGAGAGAGAGAGAGAGAGAGAGACGATGTCCATGGCATTGAAACTCACCATTTCACCCGCCTCTCGTCCCCCGTTGCCGACGCTCCAACTGTCACATTTCCCTCCCCGCCAAAACTTGAGCCTGAGTGTGCGTGCCTCCTCCCCGGGCGCCACCGTCATCGGCACAAATCAGAGCTTTCTCTCCCCTCCGAATCCTCCCAAGCGGGACCGATCTGTTACTTCCAAGGCCGGTTTCCAGCTCAATGTGAACGCCCCTCTTATCTCTGCTCATGACCAATGGGGCATCTGGACGGTTCTCTTCGCCACCGGCGCTTTCGGTATCTGGTAATCCCCACAACACCCTCTCTCTCTCTCGTCCTTCCCAAACAAGGGAAAATTCAGCTCAGTTCAGTTGAGCTCAAAAAATTGAGTCCTTATATTTAATTTTTGTTGTTAAAGGTCGGAGAAGAACACGAAGATTGGGAGCGCATTGAGTGGGGCGTTGATGAGCATATTGATCGGACTTGCAGCCAGCAGTTTGGGAATCATTTCTTCGAATTCGCCGGCGTATTCGATTGTGTTGGAGTTCCTGCTCCCGCTGGCTGTTCCGTTGCTTCTGTACAGGGCGGATTTGCGCCGCGTGGTCAAATCAACCGGCGCACTTCTCTTGGCCTTCTTGGTTGGATCAGGTACTCGGAAAGTCATGGCCTTTCTAATTCTTGTGTACTTGTTTAATTATTTGTTTCTTTCTTTTTAAATTTTGATGATTTGCATTGTGGAAATTGTAAATTGAACTAATTGGAAAAGAAAGGAAGTTACTTTTATTCTAAAAAACAATGCTTGGCTACTCGGCAAAAATGAATTAAAACTAAGATCGTTTAGTCAATCTATTATAGCAAATATATAGACGGTTCATAATGCTTTTACCAATTTTGTTCATCTGTTTTTATGCAGTTATGACTAAGGAGTCCTAGTTTTAATTGACTTTTTCCGGTGAGGATCTTTACAGAGTGATTCATAATATGAACGATTCTACGATTATTTCATGACATAGAAATTGTTAGTACACGAATATATGCAACGATTATTTCATGACATAGAAATTGTTAGTACACGAATATATGCAGCCATAAGAATATGTGCTCAACTTGATGCGGGTTTTTGGTTTTGGTCTTTGCTTCCTCTTGATTTTGATTTCTTGCCCCTTTGTGTGTACCATAGTTGCAACAACAGTTGGAACAGTGGTGGCGTATCTATTGGTGCCAATGCGATCGCTTGGTTCAAACAGTTGGAAAATAGCAGCTGCACTCATGGGCAGACATATCGGTGGAGGTAATGTACTTACAACTTTATAGATTTATGTCCTCACACGAACAAATTGAGCCTATTTGGTTGTGCGGACTAAGTATTTGCAATTTGTTTTATGTAGCTGTCAATTATGTTGCCATATCTGAAGCTCTTGGGGTCTCTCCGTCAATTTTAGCGGCTGGCCTAGCCGCAGATAATGTCATTTGTGCTGTATATTTTTCAACATTGTTCGCGTTGGCTTCTAGAGTACCTCCTGAGCCTCCAGTATCTGGCGATGGTGTGTAAATTTCTACCTTGTTATGGCATAATTGTGGGATATCAAGGTGGATTTGTTGTTGGTTAAGCTTCCTTATTTTGAATGGATGCATTTGAACATATAGCCGGAAGGAACTTGTGGCCACTAACAGATACTCGAAATCTAATTGGCAGGCATTGCAAAGGATGCAGACTCTGAGCCTGCAAACAAGCTTCCTCTGATACAAACTGCTACGTCCCTTGCCGTGTCCTTAGCCATCTGCAAGGCTGGCCATTACGTCACGAAATATTATGGAATTCAAGGAGGTATCCTTCCAGCTGTGACAGCCATTGTTGTTATTCTGGCGACTGTGTTTCCTAGACAGTTTGCGTATCTCGCACCAACTGGTGAGGCTATGGCTATGATCCTAATGCAGGTAAGGAACATTCTCGTCTTCTCTAATGTAGGTCTAGCGGGCGGATGTCTTACACGAACTGACTTGATTTTGGCAAACAGGTATTTTTTACAGTCGTGGGAGCAAGCGGGAACATATGGAGTGTGATTAACACCGCTCCTAGTATCTTCTTATTCGCTTTAATCCAGGTTGCTGTTCATCTTGCTGTGATACTCGGAATGGGAAAGCTATTGGGGTTTGACCTAAAGCAGTTGCTTATAGCGTCGAATGCCAATGTTGGAGGCCCTACAACAGCATGCGGAATGGCTACGGCCAAAGAGTGGCCTTCTATGATTGTTCCTGGTATTCTTGTCGGCATTTTTGGCATTGCGATCGCAACTTTCATCGGCATTGGATTTGGGGTTGCGGTTCTAAAATACATGTAATGTGAAACTTTCCATTGATGATTAGCAGAAATGTTTCAAATCTGTAACAAATGTGAACAAGGCAGACAATAGGGGTAAGTTGGAAGATATGTAGATAACTCACCACCATGTCTGGCATTGCAATATACATGTATGTAATAAACCAACGGAATCCTAGTCATCGTATATATGGTGTGTTGTAGGATCGTAGTCTGCCACTAAAGCTTAATAGAAAATTTTATAGGATGACAATAAGGTCAACAATGCTTTGTGGCATAGAATGTTGAGCTGTCAAAAAGAAACATGCAATGGAGATGAGGATGTTTCATTAAAGTGCGGATTCACGAGAAATGACAAGATTAAAAACGAGTATGTCAGGTAAAGTAGGAGTTGCTTTAATTGAAGATAAGATAATAGAAAGTTGGTCAAGATGGTTTGGAAACGTGAACAGAAGACGTATAGATGTTCCGCTTAGAAGATGTGACTATAAGACGGAGGCGGGGACAAAAGGGATAGCGGAAGACCTAAGAAGACTTGGAAATAGACTTTAAGAAAAAATATAGAGTACTTAAAACTAACGGAAAAATTAACACAAAACAAAGTGTATGTTTAACAGAAAAACTTAAA